GTTTTATGACTTGAACTGAAGTATTATTATTTTTTAATCAGTGTTTAATCAAGTTTTCTGTTATTTCTTGTATATCTCTGGACAAAAGTTTAATTTAATTCTTTAATATCAGAACAAATAATTTTATTTTCTGCAGTTTATTTTTCAGCGAGTGAAGAAAAGAGTCTGAACCTTCAGGATTACAGCTCCTCAGCTTCTAGTTGTTGTCTTTATTATTGTTTCATCTTTATTTTTATTTTCAAAAAGCTCTTTGCAGCTCTGGGAACAAAAGGTTGTCTTCAGCTCACAGCTGCAGCTCATCAACTCATTAATCTCAGCTGCTCCTCGTCCTGTGATCACCTGTCTGTTTAAAGAGTTCTGGTTCCACCTGGTTCTGTTTGTTTGGGCCAGCTGTTAGCTCATGGGGGGTTATCATTTGATTTGTTTGATTTCTTTAATAAAACATCAGTTTTTATTGCACTGTGGGTCCATGAAAGCTCCTGCTCTAAATAATCCCTGAGCCTCAGGTCCAACAGAAACACAGCCGGTACCTGAGGGAAGGAGTCTGCAGAGGCCAGAAGCACATTTTCAGGTTTCAGGTCACAGTGGACGATGTTCTTAAAGTGGAGGTGACGCAAAGCCACCAGAATCTGATGAAACAAACACAAACAAGAAGTGAAGCAGCTTTAAGCAGAACAAAGTTTCTGTGGGAAAACATTTGTAAATAAAGGGACATATTTCTGAAAGTATAAAAGTTACAGAAACGTCTGCTTCTGATCAAACTGAACCTTTTAAAATGTGACTAAAACAGATTAATGCTTGCAGTAACATGCAGAGAAGATTCTAAACAAAAAAACACAAATCTGGTGAAATAATGAGGAAATTAAATGAATTTAAAACCTAAATAAACTGTTAAAGAGTCAATATTTAAAATGAACTTTTTTGAGTTTTATATCATGTTATAATGTTATACTCTGATAAAAACATGTCCAAAGCCTTGCTCTGACTNGCATAACACTGCAGTTTTACTAAGCGGAGAAGGACCATTGAAAGTGAAGAGAAGGACAAAAGCTAAAGCAGTAGCTGGAACATTTATTCACTGTATGTATTGTCAAGGTATGTACATTCGAAAGGAACTGTGGAGACATGTCCGCCGATGCCCCTGTAAACCAGAAAATATGGATCTTGAAAAACCACCTGGAAGAACCAAAGTGCTTGGTTTAGCTTTGGCTAATGAGTCTGCATTCTGTCAGCAGATCTCAAGTGGAGTTTGGAAGCTCATTAACACCATGAAGCAGGATGATGTTGCCTCAGTTGTAAGAAATGACTTGTCTATTATTCAGTTGGCCCAATCGCTCTACAACAGACATGGACAGGATCCCACAAAGTATGAATACATGAGACAGAAGCTTCGTGAACTTGGACGTTTGTTGCTATGTCTGCAAACACAATTCTCAATACGTAATCTAGAGGAAGCTGTGAAACCTGCTAATTTCCAGAGGCTTGTGCAAGCAGTAAAGATTGTGTCAGGGTTTGATGAAGAGAAACTGTCATACCAAACACCAAGCCTTGCCCTGAAACTGGGACATTCATTGCACAAAATCTGTGACATAATCCACTGCCGTGCACTTACGTCAGACAATGCTGAACTGATCAAATCAACTGAGACTTTCCAAAAACTGTACTCATCCAAGTGGTCTGAGATGGTGTCTCATTCAGCCTTGAACACTCTGAGTCATGCCAAGTACAATAAACCCTCAACATTACCCTTCAC